TATCAAAACTGAGTCTCTATTCGATAATATACTCGTAATACACTTTTCTCACGATTTACTTTACAGGAAAGAAAATATAAATATAATATAATCTATTCTTTATTGAAAAAACCTTAATTCAAAAACTGAATTATTTGGTTGTCTTTCAAAGTTTACGCTATATTTAAATAAATTCTTAAAATAGCATTTCTTTTCAATCATTATTGGTGTTGTTGTAGTAAAGTATGAAATATAATATACCGTAAGATTGTAGTTATCCTTTTGTGTGCTAAGGCTTACATACGATACCGTAGTCTATAATGAACTGAAGACAATACTTCTGTAAAGTAAATCACTTTCTTTACTGTAATTTCAAGAAAGTATTTTGCTTACAGTTCAATTATTGTTTCAAACAATCTGGATAGTTTATTTAGCTTAAACCTGGATGGTTAGTCTCAGGTAGTGTAAATATAATATTAAAATTAAATAAATTTAAATGGGTGAAAAGTTCACAAAAATTACAGAAAATGTGAGCAAAATATCATAATACTGTACTTCATATTGTTTTGCTTTTTACAAAACAGCATATAATCAACAATTCTAATAACTTAATGATGAAACTTAATTATATGAATGCTATGCAATAGTATTATTTAAAATTTTAAATTATAACTAATCTTTTTATAAAAATTATAATTAAGAGGATTTGATGTGAGATAAGAGGCAAGACTTTCTGCTGAGAGAAATACTTTCTTTGAAGACATATTTGATATCTTGTTTGAAATGTCATCCGAGAGAAGCAAAAAATGTTTTGTTTTCAAAAGTTTCAAACAATAATAACATATTTACGTGTTTTTACTGTAAAATCATGAAATGAATGGTAAAAATTTTAATTAAAATTTAGAGCAAAGCGTATTTGATACACATTTATCGTATGCAATACTACAGTATAGCCCTCTTAATGGTCATTAACACCAAAATAAATAGAAATGTTTTGACTCAACATATTTTGTCTCAAATGACCGAAAATGAACTTTCCTTTCAAGTGATGGACAGACTCTCTGAGCTCTTTTTAATCTGAAATCTACTCATTGCTATCCAAACGCCCTTTTCCACAGTCAAAGAGAGTGTGTATTGAAAAGTGAAACAAATATGTGGACTGCCTTTCCCTCACTAAACAGTGCGTGTGATATGAATGCGATAGGACTGGCAGATCGAGTTGGGCCGCTAGACTCCCTCAGACTCAGCATCAGTAATAAAATATGGTTCGCATCTGTTAGACATCTGCAACTGTATGGTCGCTACCCTTAACGGTATTTCTAGTCTCGCATACAATCAAATCCTCTATAACAGCACTTTTTCCAAATCATATCATCCCATGTATACCATATAACCGTAACTTTTTTTTGTGTAAATCACATAAAAATAAATATTTGTTTTATGCGCTAAAAAATACAGAAAATTTATTTTTCAAAACTTATGGCAATTCCTTTGAGTGTGAGTTTGTTTGAGCAAAAAAATATGTGTTGATTTGATGAATAAATTATAATTACACACAAAAGCAAATACTGAAAGTCATTAAATGAGTTATTTTTCTATTCAACACTATTTGCCGTCAAATGTATCGCAAAACCCACTCCTAATGCTTCCTAAAGTCAAACCTTATCTCTAATACCAATAGAGCACAGTCTGCGAGTAATGTACAGTAATAGGCACTGGAAGGGAACCACCGTTTTAAATACCAGACATAATCAAAGTTGCATTTGGTTTTAATCTGTTTGTCAGAAACCTGGCAACAACTGCAACCAATTTGACCACTCGTTTATAAATAATGAAAGAGAGAGAGAGAGAGAGAGAGAGAGAGCGAGAGAGAGAGCGAGAGAGAGAGAGAGAGAGGCAATTGAACCGACATCTGAACGATAAAATGAAAAAACACGTGCTTTTACTTTCTCTCCGATGCCTTGCCATCCATTCCCATCAATGATCCCCTCCATGACTGCCGCCCCCATAGAGGAGACGCTCTAATATTGAGTTTGAATGCAAAAAATGTGTTCAAACGAGCAAATGGTCACAAACTCCGCCAACAACTCGACCACAAAAGCTGTTTGCTCTTCATTTGGTGCTACTCTTCATTAGGACATGAAAACCAAAAACAAAAATGAAATGCAATTTATGTGAAACTCTTTTTTATATAACTGATCATTATATGAATGAATGTAAAAAGTGATGTTTGAAAACAACTTGAATCTAATGGTGACTAATATTAGCCAAAGTTAACGCAAAGAACATTATAGCCATAATAAGTTAAAGTGTACTCATATAGTGAAATAGTGGTTTGAATGGCTTTATTGTGAGTATTTTTGTTGATGTGTGTGTTCCCGGAGTTTTGGCTCAAAGCGTTTTTTAGTCGAAAACTTTTTGCGAAACAAATTTTTAGAAAATTATGGCATTAGTTGTCGTTATCTTTGCAAACAATTTTCGTCCGCAACCCTAAGGAGCAGTGCTTTTGAAGCATAGCTTAAGAGTTTGCGATCCTTTCAAAGGTTTAGTTCGCCTGCAGTTCTGTTGGCTCTCTGTGTTTGGGCCCTATTGTCGACGATTTGGCGAAACTATTCTCAAAACTGGAGTCCAAAACTCAAAAGAAGGAGAAAAGTTTGTTATTAAAGGTATGGCAGTTATGCAGACTTTGTCAGTCGCATAACCATTTACTACTGAACAGTGATTTACGAGTTTCAAAAATTTGAATACACATTCAATTGGACATACATTTGAAAAAAAGTATTTTCTCTGTCCGGGAGCTGAGGTCTTGAGTGGAATATGATTTGAGATATAATAAGACAAGCATTTGAATCAATCTTTGGTTAAGTCACTCCATATAATATAAAGAGAAGAATGTCTTTCATTTTTTACATATTAAACATTTGGTCCTTTACTTTAATCCCAATACTCTCTCTCTCTCTCTCTCTCTCTCTCTTTCATTATTTATAAACGAGTGGTCAAATTGGTTGCAGTTGTTGCCAGGTTTCTGACAAACAGATTAAAACCTTCTCTCTCTCTCTCTCTCTCTCTCTCCGCATACCATTCAATACTATTCTTACAGTATATCGATTTTCTCCCACTTTCTAATCAAAAATTGTGATTCAAAATAATGGCATCAAATATATGGGGGACTGAATCGCTAGAATTGATGTGATTGTGATTCACCACTACTCGTAGTGTAGAGATTGGTGTTGGGGTGACGGGAGGTGACGATACCGTTAGCTCTTAAACCAGATTTTCCATACAATACCCAATGTATGTAATCGTCAAATGACTGGCAATGAGTGCAATGTTTTGCTCTGTTTGTCGTCGTTGTCGTCGTTCACACATTAAACTCCGAGCCTTTAGTTTAAGAGAAGGCATTCAATCAAATACTTCTCTCTCTCTATCTCTTTCTCTATATTCTGTATATTCTTATTGTTCGCCAACTTTTTCTCAGAGAGTATTCAACTTTTCAAATCATTTTATAAGGATTAACTAATGGATATACATATGAAATGTCGTCAAAATTGGCTTTTATATGAATTAATGCAAATCTAGTAAAAATGAAAAGTTTTATCCAATTCATCAAATCTTTAAAATTAAATCATGTTTTCATATATTAAGCATTTTTGGATAATTATAATGAGTGGTGATATTTGCGAAGTCACTCGTTTTAATGATTTATATTCATTATAATATCTGAATTAATTATATTCAATGGCTAATGAAAGTGATGTGTGATTATAACAGACTGTGAAAATATTTGACTACAAATATTGAATTAAGTGAATATAGATTAGAAAAAGTATTGAAAGCAATTGTTATAATGTGTTAAATCAATATCAGTCGTGTTCGCCAATAATTGCTGTGATTTCATACTGAATTTAGTTGACCTAAAAAACGAGTCAAAAATATCGCATAAAATAAGGAATAATAACTGATTTATGACTGAAATCGTGGTAAATATGATTTGACAGCTTTTGCTTCTGTGACACTAAATGTGACACTAAAACAGTTTTTATTCTTACGTTTTGTGAATTGTGTTATATTTGTTGTGCCTTTTCTTTATTGATTAAATCATAATTATTTCTGATTCAAGAGATTTCTAATAGAGAACTTAATTTAATACATGATCTCATAGTGAACACTATTTTCAATCACCAGTTCATGATTACTGATAGTTTCGATGAAAAAGTGTTACGAATTTGATATAAACTTAAAATTGATTGAATTTAGATCACAAGCAATATAAGGTATGCCATTAATAATATGGTACATAGTAGAGTATTTGATGATAATTACTTGCTTTTAAATTTCTTGTTTTTAAAAGTCCAACAAAAAATAGATTTATATCTATAATATTACAAATTGATTACAGTCTTTATAATTGTTATTTATGTTAAACTTAAGTACGAATCTTAATTCTAGTTCAACACAATACGCTATACTTCACAATAAGCTAAAAGATTATTTTCCTTGTATTTTAGTTCATTTCTAATTCACGTCAAATATATATTAATAAATACATAACTGATATACATTTAATTATATTATAAGTTGGAAATAATAGTTAGTTATGAATCAATTATTCATAGATTATCTACAAATACTCTGTACTCAACATTAAGAGCATTGACTTATCAGTAAACTGTAAAAACCTATTGAAAAGAGTGCAGTCATATTGAAAGCTCTTATTAACAAAACTTTTAAAATCTTACGCAGTGTTAGAAAATATCTTTAAATAACTTAAAATACTCTTTAAAGGAAAAAATTGTCGAAAAATCGATTTAACTTGATGTTTAAATAGAAGTTTTTTAACAAAACGTCTTTGAGTTTCATTTCTTATTTGGAAAGTGAATAATAGACCGAAAAAGAGTAGTTCTCTAAATGTTATTCATAGAAAATCTTGTGATATATTATGAAAGCAATGCATTGATTACTTTTCTATCGGTATTTCAGAGGGTTTACAAAAGTTTGCAAAGTTGTGAGACATCGAAGCGATGGGCGATTCTAATGGCACCGTAAGCATAAGGATTGACAATTATGTGAGCGGTGGTGATGGTAGCGCTTGTGGACAAACTACTGGCCCTACAGGTCACAGGGAGGCTGTAATACAATCGACTGAACGATTACAATACTCGTCACACAATAGGGATACAAGAAATGCCAGCAAAAGCCCAGGCGTTACAGTGAATGCTAGTCTAGTGTCCACAATACCAGTGCCTCCAACGAGAACTCGCTCTACAGTCTCAGCCGCACCGAGAGATAGAGACAGAGAGAAGCTGTTTAGCGCTGACAAGAGCACCGCCAGTGGTGTCTGTACTGCCAGTCCTACCAATACTACCAGCGCTCCCAATACTGGTAACGCAAGCTGGAAGAGCTGCGCAGACATCTATGGCTATGCCATTGGGAATGGGCTGCAAGTAGGGCGAGGTAGGCATCGACAGCATAAGACTGCAACCACCATCACTGATTCACATAGGCCTGTGAGCAGTGCATTGGCAGCACCAGTAGTACCAGTCTCTCGGAGTGCCTCCAATTCCGCGTTTGACAACAAAGCCTTTTCATGTGATGGCGAACCGATTGATGTGGATGTGGGTCAGCCTCGCAACCAAGTCTGTCATGACTGTCACCAGCCATTCACTCCCGATCACCGCAAACGCCTCCACCAGTGCCCCCCTCCAGCCACTACCTGTGCCCCCAGTGACGCGCTCGTAGCCATAGCCAACCACTCCAAGAGTCATTGTTTTCTAGAGAACTCTATAGACCACAAGAACTCTGATTATATGATAACTCATCCGACATCCCGACCCTCGCGATCGTCTCGATGTTCCAGCCGTTCCTCAGTTGTCAAACACATCGGTATATTTTACTCGGATTTGTATGATGTCTTCAAAGCCATGAGAAGCAGCGCCAGTACTGCTCACACCACCACTCATAGCAATACCATCACTACCACCAACACTAGTAGTCATGATAACAATAACACCAATATCAATATCAGTGGCGGTTCCGAAGAACCCACGCTCTCGAGTGCTCAATCACCACAACACACCTGTGCGGCCAGCCATCAAAAGGCTAAGATATCGGCACCAGTATTGCTCCAGAATGAGCACCTCATCAGACTTCACGTCCCTGTGCCACAGCCAACCCAACCCCCACCACCACCACAACCCCACACCACCACTCCGTGTCACCAATCGAGTCAACATCTGGTGTCCGGACAGACATCGGTGCGAAGTCCTCCTCAGACACACATCCGTTTGAATGAGAATCAGGTCCACGACTTGCCTGATATACTCAACTCACACCTGCCCCCTCCTCCCTACTCCACACTCCCACCCCCTCCCCCTCACGGCATCCAATTACCCCCACTCTCATCATTGCCACCATTAGCTCCGATCCGTGCGCCGCCACCCCCTCCACCGCCGCCTCCATTACCCTTGGGTCGACCGCCGTTGCCATCTCGACGTATATTACACACACCGTCGGGTGCTTTGGGTCACTGTTCGCGACCAAACTATTTGCGGCAAACGTGTACTGTTAGTGAGACTGAGACCTCGGCTTCAAAGACATGTCTTTCATGCAACGGAGTGTCCATCCGATGGTTTATTTTGTTGATCGCATTCATAGGACTTTTGTGCTCAATAGTTGGCACCATTTTGGGTGCTCTCCGGTCCACGGGTCGGGAACACCTCACTCTGGCCCTCCTTATGATCGGTAAGTGCTTTTCACAACTTTGCTATTATTTGCTTAATTCATGCTGAATGAGTCACTATTATTACTGAATTTATTGTGTCGTAAATGTGTATTAAATAGATTTTGATTATACGGTATGTTTTGTGGAGAAATGTGAACTAAAATGACTCGTAATCTCTCGAAAAGTATAATAATATGACTACAATATAATACCTAATATAATATCATATATAATATCATATAATATAATATTCTTCTCTTGTTTTCTTATTTCTTATAAAATGTTTATTACTTTTGTAAAGAGAGTAAAGTTTTTGAGATATTTATTGCTATTCAAGGCTCTCTTCTTTTCCAATGTTTTATTATTCGGCTTTAGTTTTCATAAAAACCCGAATATCTTGAGGGCATGTATTCAATGCAGTCTTCACAACAACTATTGAGACATCCCTTACAATAATTTGGTCTTCACTTGAATCGCAATTATTTTCTCTTCATTTCTGTACAAATCTCTCTCTCCTTGTAATACATTAACGAGAAATTCAAGCATTTTCTCTAAATTACATTACAATAGTATTAAAATTTAAATTCATTGTGAATATACGATAATGTACTTATAAATTATGATAACATAAAAACATTACAATATTTCATAAGTTTTATACTATTCATTGAAATTAATTAGCATTTCATACGTAATCCAATTGTGAGCTATAATACAGTATAATAAGTATTCATTAAACTTGCTTTAATTGTGTTCACATAGAAGTCAAGATTGGATCTAATTTTAGTTAATTTGACAATTAATGCATTCATTTTAGAGCACAACAAATACTTCTAGAGTTTAGTTTAACGGATCATTTAACTCAAAACTAATTATCCTTTTGTTCCCTTCATGTGAGACACACTCAGACGACTTGAATACATTTCAATCCATTCTTTTCTCATTGTTTTGCACCAAATTTCAAGAAAATGATCTTTTAATGGCATCTCATTTCTCTACACTAATTAAACCCCTTTACAACTGTTCATCACAAGTAGTCTTATTCTCATCTCATATTCATAATAAAAAATTTTTTAACGTTTTAATTCTTTAGTTATATTCACAGTTGGTTATAAAAAAGTGTAAATCTTAGGTCTTGAGTGTTTATTCAAAGTTACATTGTGTTGTGTATACTTAATAAAGTGTGCTATTTATATCTCCCTTTTGGTCAATATTTATTGTTTTTATTATTTTCTGGAATGCTAGTAATACTTATATGAGCATGATACAATCTGCGGTATCTTTTTCTCGATATTGAGTTCCTAATTGTAGTGATGAGGAAGATCTGATCATTTTTACAAAAATCGTGTTATGCATTGCTTAATACTTTGGTGGTTAACATTTTTTATTTTATTGTAAATTACATCGAAAATAATAACCCTCTTAACATAATTAAATTACAAAATTATTTTATAAAACACTTGAATTCTTAGCAAGCAAAGTTATTGACAATGAGAGCATAATTCTTTATAAAAATTGATTCATATTTTTCCAAGTACCCGTATTGAAAACTCTATTGTGTGCTTATTTGTTAGATACTATTATTTTAATTACATCATTTAGCAATTATAATTCAAATATTCATTAATATTCATTTGATGTCAAATTAAATCATCGTTTAAAATACAAAGTACAGTAATAGGGAAATACTGTGTATGTAGTACATGTTGTATGCCATTCTGAAATATTGAAAAAAACAATTTGCACTTTTTAAATGAAATTGTGAATATAAAGTAAACTTAACATTATAAGAATTAAAATTATTTCCTTTTAGAGAGAGAGAGAGAGAGAGGGAGGGAGAGAGAGAGAGAGAGAGAGAATTTTGGAAATTTCGTTTGAATGACTAATTTGCTACTCATTTCTATACGAAAACTAATTGTTTGTGATATGTTTGTGTTACAGGTGTTGGCATTATTCTGATAACTGTGAGTGGGATCGCATGGAGGTTGACATCGACAGGTCCGACGTGGAGGTCACTGCTAGGCCTCCATGAGCTCCATCAGCAGCAATCGCTATGTAATGGCAGCTCTATTACTGACGCCACCCGTCGTTTTGTGCCGCGAGTTCCGCCGCCGTATGGGCGCACCGGTACACACCATCACCCATACGGCGCTATGTTTTACCCGGAGTTCCAGTACAGACCGCCTCCCCCTTCATACCAGGCGTCGATGCAGGAGTACCGGCTGAGACTACTGCTGCTGGACAGGTCGTCCTCCCGCCATCAGTCTACCTCACTCTCGCCCGTCTCACCCCCGCCTACCTATCGGTCCTCAGCCGCATCCAGTCCTATGACCGACAGGCACTCACTCCCCCCGCCATCCCAACCGCCGCCACCATCGCAGCCATCAGTACCCCCACAGCCATCCCAACCATCATCACCGCCACAATCATCTCAACCACAGACAACTCATTTCGTCTGATACTCATCACATCATGTGCTGTAAAGTGTATTAAATACCAGAGCCTTATCACACATTTTAGGGTCTCTTCATTATTAAAGTCGACATAATGTGTAGTAAATAATAAATAAGATTATATATAATTGCATACAAATGTCAAATGTATTTAAATAATATGTTTGTATTGTTTCCAAACCTAAAGTCAACGCTAATCTAATTATTTTATAAATTATAATTTAGTTATAAATATAAATGATTTATTTTAAATAAATTTTGATACAAATAATCATTTTGTCTTTAAATCAATTTAACAAATAGGGTTTGAATAATTGATTTTCACAGATATTTATCGCATTTTGTGGATTTATTGGATGAGTGTGACACGTGTGACACAATTTACGGTTTACTGGATTTAAAACCACATAGCGTTACATCAGCCAATACCCTTGCAAATGCCAGAGTTTCAAGTTTATACATTCTGTGCTCATATTAGTGTAATGATTTACCTTTATCAAACTAGTTAATACAATTAACTGAATTTCTAAATTTAGTTTAATACTATTAATAATTAAAAATATTAATCCCAACAAAATCTAACCAAATGTAACATCATACAGTATAGAATATATTTAATATGCCATAGTCAGCATAAATTTAAAACTACCAGATAGTGATTAATAATGATTCGATTAACGGTCCCATGCATTATATTGTCTTTTTATTAATATGTAAATAGGTCCTGTCTGATTTTTGAGAATATTTAATAATTTTTCAAGTTTTTAATCATCTTAAAGTAGTCAATGAGAAAGCAAGACTCGCACTATTTTTACTCGCCATTCGTATATATTTTATGTTTACTAAATTACAGGGGTGAGTTACTGTAATACCAGGGGCAAATAATCATATTGTACAGTATGTCCAGGTATTAAAATCCAAATTGAAAACCCCATGTTATTTCTATTTACGGTAATTAAAATATTGTTAACATTTGTGCAATTTAACCAGTCTACCGTAAGTATTATACAGTATACCGTATTTAACTGGAAAATGATTTAAATCCATTGGTTTGAATTAACGTTTGTATTTAAAAATAAATAATTACTGTAAGAAAAACATGTAAATGATATAAACAATGACTTCAATGATAGTATCATTCCTTCCACCACGAGATGAGGCCCAAACCGGACTCATTGATGGTTCCCTAAGACATGGACACAATTACTGCCAATGAGTTCACAAATGGTTACAAACGAGACATACTTTAATCAAATACGGAATTTTGCGCTTATTTTCGGACAAAGCCGTCGACTCATTGGCCGCAGCTGTGGGTCCGGCGGGCGAAGTGTCGGTGAAGAGCTCTTCCTTCACTTTGAACCTAATCTTCTCTCCGATATCCATAAAGAGTTTGTTGGACTCGTACTCCCAGTACCACAACTGCTCCTTCTCGTCACTGCCAGACATCATCACAATTAATGAGCAATTCGTGCAAAAGTGCTATAAATCAGTGTTTCGTTACAATAGAGAGCAGTCCTGAAGATAATGAGGAGGTATTAGGATGTCGTCAAAGAAGCCCAAAGAGACGAGGACTCCATCGCGAGAACAGGACCTGATTTTGCCCACAATTACTTCGCCAATGAATGGCCGGAACACCACAAACCGGAACTCCACTGAAGTGACAAACAGATAATTATGTCATTCATATAATCGGTGGTCTCTTTGACACAAACCTGAGGTATGGGTCGCGCCATCGCTTTGATAGAGAAATGATTTGTCGATTTTGGTGATATCGAAGAGACAAATACAAAGTCCAGTGTTTATGATAACCTGTAATACGGACACGGATTGGGATGCGATTCAGTGATCATTCATATGATATCAACTCAAATGGTGTGACCAATGATTACCCGATTGGCGAGCTTTCGGTTCAACTCATCACTAATGGCTTCCCTCTGACTGATGGCAAACAGATGCGGAGGAATACGGATGGAGTCCTCCAACTCTACCAATACATACATTGCACTCAACTCTTGACACTAATTAATCATTGAATGAGTGGATCAGTTGAGTGACAATTGGTTGACCACAACAAACACACAATGAATGCAAACATGTGTTCATAAATAGAGGCGTTATTTATGCGACAAATCATATGTTTTTCAATGCATTCATTGGTTTGCATTGCATTTGTGGCCAAAAGTTTGAAACTTTCGAAAAGTTTTAAACATTTGCTTATTCTGTGAATGCATTCAATGAAACACTTTTAGAGTATTAATAGTATTAATACTATTTGAATGCATTCATTGAGTCTATAGTTTCACTCATTGTTTGTTACAAATTATTTCACTTTAATTAACCATAACTTCTAAGCACTGGAAATGATGTCCACCTAAGAAGTGCCACCATTTGAACACAGAATTGACTTTCTCAAAAATGTCAATTACCAAGCACAAACCTCTACAGAGATAATCATAACTCATTGAATTGAAGTGATTAAAAAATAAAAACTTTTTATAAGTGTTTCTAATAAGTGCCTAAATGGGAGCACTAGTAATGTATTAATATCGCAATTTTTAAAATTGTGTATTATGTTTGGTTTTATAGTATTAAATAATCATTGATTACAAATTAATTGTCTGTTAGTTGTCACTATGAATAATAACAATAATGACAAATAATTTGTGTAATGTTATGATTAAAGGGCATAACTTATAACATTCACGACTCAATTCATAACAAATGAAGCTTTGCTTTTAATTTGATAAAAAGTTGCTAGTATCAACACTTTTTCTGATTAATGTCAAAATAACGGTACAAATACTGAAGTCTAAAAGTGTCCAAATATTCATATGCTTACACTGGAAATGTGAATAAATTATTCACTCAATAATAAACATTTTATGATATTCAGGTTTTTAAAAATATAGATAAATGTTACATGTCCCTGGTCACAGAGTATTAATTGACATTACCATAATTGTTATCACATTAATTAATACATTTCTAACCAATAAGACTTTTATTTATATAACTTTATTCAGGATATGATTTAGCCCTGATATAAAGTTGTGTGGTACAAGTAGAGTACAAATATTTAGTACATCCTACTGTAGACACCAAATATGATTAGTTAAACAATTTGCCAAAAACTCTTTAAACACCTTATGTACCAAACTAAATATACAAGTTATACAATTCAGTTGTTATGCCATTCAAGGTCTTACTAATTACTATAAATAAATTCCCAACACTTTGTATCTTTGCTGAACTTTGATTTGCAATTGCATTAATAGTCTATAAATTGTAAAAAAGTAGTTTTTGCATTTTACAAACATTGAGATAGTATGAGACAAAGTACTTTTGGGTACGTTTCATTATTTGCCCTAAATGAATATATGAATGATTTAATTAATTGAATGCTTAAACCCAAACATAATAAAGGGTTAATTGTATGAAGTGTTGGGTGAGGGGCGCAGGTCTGCAGCCCAGACAGTAGTGAACCCCTTTGAAGGTCACCTAAAATATGATACAGAGTTATGTAATAGCGATCACACGTTAAGCGCATGCAATCGTAACTGGTTTTATATGCGCTAAGAGTGGCGTGACTTCACAGACCATACAATTAGGCTTACAATACAAGTGAACACAAGTATTGTTATATGCACTACACATCCAATTGGCAACTATTGGCCGCTAAATACTATCCATTTCCAGCCATACAGACATCGATTCTTGAAACTTATAAACTTATATCAGAATCTAATATAAAATATATGTGATAGTGATTAACAGTTGTGGTAACTATAGTGGAGGTGATTGTGATAGTGATTCACTCGTACAACGAATGGTATGACAGCCGCTCGTCATATGAGAGACACCGGAGTTGTTATGCAATCATAGGAGTCATCTCTCATAGAGTACTGGATTTGAGTGAACACTCGCTTCTTGTATCCACACGTCAGACACAACTGTCTCTCAGTTTGAAAGTGAATACCATTTGATCGCAAATCTTATCGTTTGTTTGGTACATAATATCACTGTTAATAACGTTTAGAAGTTTATTATTATCTCATTTTAATATCCGTATATAAATCCAAATATTTTTGTGCGCAAAAAGTTTTTGAACTTTCATTGATTGGAAATTGTGAATCAAATATTTGGAAAATGATTTTAATTAAAGTGATCCAAAGAAATACATATTTTGTATTAAAAGCCAATTTCTCGACAACTGCTGTCACTAACAGACAGGTATTGTTCATGAGTTTTGACTATTTTATGTTCATTTAACTGAAG